TTCATCTCAAATCATTTCGTCCTTTTTATTTTTTTATTTTACTTATTCTGCTAGGGGCTCCATGCTTGTCTCTCCTCATCCACTTCCAAAATATTTCTCTTCTTTTTTCCTTCTTACTTTTCATTGACATTGCTCTGCATTTTCTCTGCCTCTTTTAATTTTAACAGTTCCTTGCTCTCTTGACTACATTCTTTGCAATTATCTTCTTCTTTATATACACATTGCACAATATTGTTCTTTGATCTTCATTTTTTTCAGAAGTTCTTCTTTTATGTGCTTTCCCCCCTCCTCATTTACACCCATCTATCATTTTCCCCCACTATCAGTCTGCCAAGCATTCTCTTTCATATTTCACACTGATGTAATTCCATACACTTCTGTAGCATATTTTCCACCCTATTCTGTGCATAAGAGAGGACACCTCTTCTCTTCATTCTATTGGAACAGTGACCTACCATCTACCACTTTTCCATATAATATCTGCATTTTCACTTTTTCCAATTGTTCAGCATTCACTCTGTTTTTGTTCATTTCTTTCCTGTTCTTCCATGTACATTTTCCCCAAGTCTCATTCTTGACACTATCAAAAAATGATCTGTCCTAGATTCAGAATATCTCATCACCTTTGTAATCCTTCAGTAATTCTCTCAGTCCTGTATCCTAAATTCTTAATCATGCTTCATCTTCAATTCAGGTATTTTTTTGTAAATGCAAGAATAGATTTATGCTTAAACAATGTCTTCAAACAAGCAGTCATTTTTTAAATAGATAGCCAGCAAACATCACCATTCTCATTCATTCTTGGGATCTCTAAATGCCCTATCAATTTTCTGTTCTTTTTCATCCAGCTTCGACCCATGCATTTCTGTTACCCAGCAAAACAATCTTTTTCCCGGATCACATGCATTCAGAATGGTGCACCATTTTCTCTAAAACTTTCCCCTGATTCTTTCATTATAATGATTCATTTGAACAAAACATGCAACTGATATCATCCTATGAATTCTGTCTTTCTTAATATAGGTACCGTGCTTGTCCTAAAATAAGACCTACCCTGAAAAAAACCCCTAGTTTTGGGGCAAAGCGCATGCCTAAAAATAAAGCTAGGATGGGGATGGGGGGGGAGCTGCCCCATGCACCCTGTACCTGCTTACTGTTGCAGCCAGGTCTCCCATGCCCTGACACCTGCCTCGCATCACTGGCCACTTCTTCTGTGGCTGTGTGCATTACCTCGGCCTCTGTTTCGCCATCATAGGCCTTCAGAAAAGGCCTCTGCAGCCAAGAATTGAGCTCCAGATTGTTGCACGTGGTGCCCCCTGGGGCCCGGGGGTGCACTGCAAGTGTCAATCGGGAGCTCGGATGCTTAGCAACTGACTCACATTTAATGACGGTTGCAGTGCCCCGGGGTCATGCGATCCCCTTTTGCAATCTTCTGAAAAGTAAAGTCAATTGGGAAGCCAGATTCCCTTAATAACTGTATTACTAACAACAATTGCAATGGTTCACTTAACAACTATGGCAAGAAAGGTAGTAAAATGGGGCAAAACTCACTTAACAAATGTCTCACTTAACAACAGAAATTTTGGGCTCAATTGTCATCGTAAGTTGAGGACTACCCATACATGTTGCAATCTAGATGACACCAATTGATTCTTTGTGACATGTGCTTTGGTTCTTTCATTCATAATCAAAACTTCATAGTCTTATCTATATTTTTGTCTTCAAATGGAGCCCACAAATAAGGCTGCTTTCATTCAGATTTTCACATGGTTTCCTTTTCTCTTACAAACAAACAAACAAACAAACAATTGATCACATAACCTTTTCCTCCTTTCCCTTCTTAATTTGTATCTTCTTTTATATTCCAAGTTGGTTATCATCAGCAGATCCATAATACTGGCTTATCACCTATCATGGATTTGGTTAATCAAGTCTGACGCATAACACTTTCAACAGAATGAAGAAGTAGACAAGGTTACTAGTCATAAATATGCTCATCCCACATTCAGCATTCTCTGTTTTTGGTAAAGACAGTAGTCATTTGCCATAAAAGAATTAGGCTTAGGAAAAAAAGAAACTCAATTTTCCCCCAAATATGGTGTTGCTGCGCTATGCATGCTAGAATCTCTAACTTAGACTCTCCTTTCAAGCCAACGCGCTATTGCCTGAAATTTAGCAACTAAGCAGTATGTACAGCGTATTGTCACATACTCAGGAAGTTCCACTGGAACAGAAAATAAGCACTAATTTTTAATTAATATCCCTAGTCTAAGTTTGACACCTTCTATGCTGAAAGCTATAAGTATTTATAGCATGCAAGCTTCGTAGGCATACTGTAATGGAATAGTGGAGATTGCCAGCCTACTGATACAGTATTTGGCAATCTGTATTCTTTCTTCTAAATTTCACATATGAAAAACATGGAGAGAAGCTTTGGTTCAGTTATTAGAAAAATATACCATTGTTTTTTGAATTATGATATGTGGGAGTAATATGAATCTTAGCTATTAATATTTAGTAACTTTATTTTCAACATTTTTGCATATATAATCTTTGCTATTAAAGGCTTAAGACTCCAGGCTGTCCTACATATAATCCTATAATGTGCTGAGTAACTTTGATGATAAACTATGGACTTATTTTTTCATCTTGTAAGCTCTACATTATTTTCTACTGATGCAGAAAAATACTGTATTTTCTTGACTGCTACATCAAAAGGTGTTGTCTTTTGAGATTCTAATGTTTGATTTGGAGTGTAATCACTTAGGATCACATTCCGCACTGTGAAGAGTTTCATATTTGTTCAAGTAGAAAGCTTCTACCCATCAAAACATGAAAGGTTATACGTGAATAATTTCTGAAAAAAAAAAACATTTTAGCACAGTTATAATAATTGTTTCTCTCAAGTTATTAAAGCTCCAATTCTTAGAATAATAGCTTAGAACCACTGTTCATAAATCACATGATTATCAAAAGCCTCCATGGATAACAATGTGATTCTTTTGTTGCCAGCTTCATATTTATTTAGGGAATGCTGACAATGTTATAGGAATGTTTTCTTTTGCCCAACCAGTAAGATTCTTTGCAATACGTATTTTGGAAATTCTGTTGAATCCAAGACCTCCCAAAGGTATATGCACTAGACTTATGGCTGTCTGCAAATGATTGTTTTTCATCCCACATGGCAATAAACTGCTATGGGATATACATATGCTCTGAAACATATGGGTTAGATAATTAAAGTAACAATGTAGTTATAACATAATTAATTCTTTATTTTATTAATTTGTTGGTATTCTACCTTGCCTTCAGCTGCTTATGGCAAGGTGGAATATCATCTCCTCCTCCAATTTTTTGCACAACTACAGTCCTAGGAGCCAAGGGCTAAGATAGAGTGCCTGATCCAAAGTCACGCAAGATACCTTCATGCTGAGGATGACTTAATGCAAACAATCACCTCACATTGGCTCTCAGCAAAATAATAATATATGAAATATGTTTTCTTCTAGGAATTGCTCTTATATTATGATCTTATTGAATCAACATTTGAAAATACAAAGCTGCCAAGCAGAAAAGTCGATGCTTTAGACCATTTTCAGAAGTGCTTTGCAATTTTAAAAGTCCATAAGGAAGGAGTGAACAAAGGAAGTGCTGTCAGATCAAAGGTTTTCGCTGAAGAAGAAACAAAAGACTGGAAAGCAATTCGTGTGGATCTGGTTGTTACCCCTTTTGAACACTATGCATTTGCTCTCTTAGGATGGACTGGATCTAGGGTAAATAACTTCCTTTCTTCCTGTTTATATTTCTATCCTAACTTGTATAAAGCAATATACCATGCAGAACCTTACATCTGAAAAAAATGTTCATTTCTTTGGCTTATCACTTGTATATTAATTTTCTCCTTGTTTCTTTTCTGAAAGGTACAGTGCTACTTTATGTCCTGGATAGGTGGAAAAATAGTATAGGGCACCAACTGAGTTTTATAAACTATTGTGGAAAAAATACCTACTTCAAACAAGGAAACAAAGCATTTTTTGATAGATATAATGAAGTATCTTTTATTGGCAGGCACAACTATAGTGATCATTGTAGTCCTGGCCACAAGATTACAAAAGAGCCCTGAAATACTATAATCAAGGTTATGGATTATATTCTCCCAGAACTGTAACATAGAAATGATTCAGAAAGCCATAATAATCATACTCTGATCTTTACAGCTGAAATGCAGCATCTGTTAACAACATGGGGTAACTTTAAGATGTTCTGGCCCAATCCTTCTAAATTCTACATACCAATAAGGGCTCCAAGCTCACCCCTTTCTACTCTTACTAGAACATTCCAACATAAACAGTATCCTTTACAGGTTGTGGTTTCTGTAATCCATCTTGTTCTCTGTAAGGATCATCAACTGTTTCAGTTCTTCTGCTCTGTCTAATAGAGTTCTTTCAAACCCATCAAGAAATGGTAAAATATTATTTCCCCCCCCATAAATCTTTTCTGGTCTTCCCAATCCAGTTTCAGTATTTTAGAGAAGCTATAAATACAAAATTCACTGGAGGAAAAATAGCAACTTTTTTTTTTTTTGCACACAGGAAAATCCAGGTCTGACATCAGTTACCTATGTTGACACTTTACTTTTTTTTTTCAGAATTTGAATGTCTTAAGCATATGAAGAATCATTAGGTCATGCATCAATCTGTTCCCCTCCTTTAGGAAACTTTACTTGAATATTTCAAAACCTTTCTCTTCAGCTATGGGAACTTTAAAATAACAGTTATGTTTAAGAGAAAACGTGCTTGAAAATCCATTTGTCTTTTTGTTTTCTTTCTTCTGTTTTTTAAAACTAGTTTCTAAAAACAGGCCATAGAAGTGTAAAAACTCTACAGTAAACATGAAAATAAAATATAATTTTAATAAGCAGAAGACTTCAGGGTTTAAAAATTTAAATAAACAAAGCAAAATCCAAATATTAATTCACTTATTTTGTAGAAGACTTCATTACAACATTTGAATTAAACATTTATTGCATTCTGATTTGATAGAAATTTGATTTTATAGAATAAATATGGAAAGCAGAATATATATTTTTAAATAATCTTTAGTTCATATCTTCCTATCTCCCTAAAATGATAAAACTGAGATGGTGAGAAGAATGGGAAGTGTGTTTTCAGTAAAGAATCAGCCAGGTTTGTTGAATGAGATTTAGAAAGGGTAAACTATAACTGTAATTTATATATTACCTTTAGAGTAAGCTTATTTAACTCAATGATATTTACTTCTGAATATTGCTGAAGGTTGCACTGACTCCTTAATATTACTTGTGGTTTTTACTTGTGTGTAGTGTGCACTGTGGACAGTACTTAATTTTGTTATGAGATACACAATGACAATAAAGATATTCTATTCTATTCTATTCTATTCTATTCTATTCTATATTTTGTGTTTCCTTGACAGTTGCTTCTAATCTCTAGGCAGCTACCAACAAATATATTATAAACTGTAATGCTTCCTGAAAAGTGCAAGCACCTAACAGTTTTTGTTTCACTCAGACATCTTCTGTGAGCAGAAGCAAATAGAATCCACTATGTGTTTAAATTAAACTTCAACCATCTCTTCTTATAAAGTTATAATTATCAGGAAGACAATACTAGCTAATGTGATATAGTATCGCACATCCAACAGAGTAGCTCTGGGTGAACATCCATTACAAAATTTGTAAGAATTGCAGACTACATTCATTATAGAAAAAAGTGTAATGTAATATCGAAATATCACATTACTTATGGTTATGTGTGCAGTAATGAGGACCTAGCAGGCTTCCTCATGATTGCTCTTTAATATTAGCTCTTAGAAACATCTTCACTCTAGGATTTTAAAAGTCGTTGCAGGACAATATCAATTTATCTTAAATTTATATCTATAGTATATTAATAAAAGTTTATAATAAAGAGTGCTACAACAGATTAAAACAAAGCAGATAGATGGATGGATGGATGGATGGATAGCTAGCTAGCTAGCTAAATAGATAACTAGATAGATAGTGATAGATAATTTGGCTTTGCTATAATAACATTGAGTATTTTATATGTATGCAGCAATTTGAACGTGATCTGCGGAGATATGCCACTCATGAGCGGAAAATGATGTTGGATAATCATGCCTTATATGATAAAACGAAGGTAATGTCTTTTCCTTTCTACTGTCATTACTGAATTCATCAATCATCCCCCTGTTCAGTGCCTTTTTCATCCCCCAATCTGTTAAGCAAAAATTAGACCTCTGATTGTCAAATAAATCGAAGGTCAAATTGCAATTACCTTGAAATATTTCACATGAATAGGTTTGTACAGAAAGAGAAAATAAATTAAATAAAATTTAAAATGTAGCTGTGAAGCTGTATTTCTTCCTTTGTAAAGATTACTAGAAGATTCCTGCCTACTAATGCAATATTTATATGATTTCCTGTTTGGAAGTGATGCCTCCAGTGAGAAACACGAATTATTAACTATACCTGCTTCCAGGTAACATTACAGACAGTGGTGAGATTCAGCCAGTTTGCACCAGTTCGGTAGAACCAGTAGCTAATTTTTGTTGCCCAGGCCCAGAACGGACTTCTGGAAGGGGAATCCACACAAAGAACAGGTTGTTCACATATTTGAATCCCACCACTGATTACAGAGTTCTGTTTAAATTCAGGTTTCTTGCATATTTATATACAAACAGCTAATGGATTTGCATTTGAGCCTAATCCCTTCCTTTTTCCAGCCTCTAGCCTCTTTTTCTTTGTTTTATTCTCTTATAATTATGCCACTGTCACTTGCTTTCTATTGTTACAAGTGCCATGAGACTTAACCTTGACTGTAGTGAGTATTAAGTAATTAAATAAACTCACATAGTAATTCAAACAATTTTGTATTACAGAGAAAATTACACACATGAAATAAAACATCACTTAGCGAAACATTTCAGAAAGAACATTAATGAAAGAGAATTTCCAGTTAAAGTCAAAGTAGCAATTTAATTTTAAATTCCAATTATATTCTCCAGAATATAAAATGCTTAAAATCATTGTTAAAATTTACTTCATAAACCTATAGAATGCTTTTAATTTGATTTAACTAAATGACTGAGAGAAAGGAAAACTTGTCTCTCAAGTGCTCAGATTAATGTTTTGAATAGAAGCTAGGATCTCAGAGAGTAAAACAAAAGACTTATTTTCTCATCTTCCTTGTTTCTTAATCTCTCAAAGGAATAAACTAAATAAGATTCAGTTAGCCTTGAAAACAAAGCCTAGCCGAAAGAAAAATAATTTTACGCGTACTTCATCCAAAGGAAAGAAATGTATTCCTCTGATAATAGTCCCATGTTTTAAAACAGTGGTTCTCAACCTTCCTAATGCCGCCACCCTTTAATACAGTTCCTCATGTTGTAGTGACCCCCAACCATAAAATTATTTTCATTGCTACTTCATAACTGTAATTTTGCTACTGTTATGAATCGTAATCTAAATATCTGATATGCAGGATGTATTTTCATTGTTACAAATTGAACATAATTAAATTCTATTATATTCTATTATTCTATTCTATTCTACTCTACTCTACTCTACTCTACTCTATTCCATATTGTCTATTCTAATCTCTCTTCCATATTGTCTATTCTATTCTCTTTTCCATATTGTCTATTCCAGTGGTGGCGAACCTATGGCACGGGTGTCAGAGGTGGCACTCAGAGCCCTCTCTGCGGGCATGTGTGCCGCTGCTCCAGTCCTAAGCCTTCAGCTAGGTTTTATAAAACCTTTTCGCTTTAGGCCTCCACCGCCATGTGCAAAATAAAAAAAAGGTTCAATCAGTCAATTTCAACTTCTCACAGGAAAAAAAAGATCTTGCAAAGTTAGAATTGATTGATTGAACTTTTTAGTCCCACCCAGTCTGCCATTACCACTGCAGCCACACCCACCCAATGGGACATACCCAGCCAATGGCCACCCGGCACCCGACAATGCATAAGTGGGTTTTGGGTTGCAATTTGGGCACTCAGTCTCTAAAAGGTTCACTCTACTGGTCTACTCTACTCTACTCTACTCTACTCTACTCTACTCTACTCTACTCTACTCTACTCTACTCTACTCTACTCTACTCTACTCTACTCTACTCTACTCTACCCTACCCTACCCTACTCTACTCTACTCTACTCTACTCTACTCTACTCTACTTTGGTCTGGTCTGGTCTATATTCTATTCTATTCTATTCTATTCTATTCTATTCTATTCTATTCTATTCTATTCTATTCTATTCTATTCTATTCTTTAGGATCGTCTTCTTCCTGGCTATTTGAAAAATATTCAGTTATAGAAATGACAACTTTCCAATCATTCTCTACATCTCCCAGCTTTGCATTTGGAGTGAAATGAATCCCAAATTGCCCTTAGTATATTTTATTATTTTATTTCAAAATGGTCAGAGAGGAAGGTAATTTTCCTAAGAACCACCTGCAGTGGCGCACAAGGAGCTCCTGTCTCTCAGCCCTGCTGAGAGTTTGGGTGGGAGGGAGCAGAGGGAAAGTGTTCTCTTCTCATGGAGGAAAATGGCCTCAGTGGCTCACTGTACGTGAAGCCTTAAGCAGCATGAGAGTTGGAAGAGGGGTTCCCCTTTCCATCCCTGCCGCAGCGCTTGCAGCTTTGTGGGTTGGTACTTTCACGTGGGATTTGAAATGTCACAATGGCTCAGAACGTTCAGAGTGTTACATTGTCTTTCACGCTGCCCATCACTTGCCACATTTGCCTGGGAAAAATAAGTGCCACCCTTGCTGTTTTGGGGGTTTTACAAAGGGACTGTGCAGAGTGGAACATGTCCGGTGCTGATGCCCCACTCCCTTGAAAAATGCGCGTGGGACGCAGGAAAAAGCCCCCTCACTGGAGGAGAGGAGGAGAAGTACTTTTAATTCCACTCGTTCTTTCTTCTTTTTCTCCCCCCCCCCCATGTCTTGTGTGGCTTTGAATGGGTGATTATTTCTGAATTCTAGCTTTGTCCCTAGCTTTGGAAACAGCTTGCTGAAAGCTTTATAAATGGTGTCTCGCTTCCTAAGACCATCAGAAATATGTGTTTTCTGATGGTCTTAGGCGACCCCTGTGAAAGGGTCATTCGACCCCCCAAAGGGGTCACAACCCACAGATTGAGAACCGCTGTTTTAAAAGCTCATGGGAGCTTTTTCTTCTAAAGCTAAGCTGATCTGAATAGAGGCCACCTGAGTAGCTGAGGAACACCTAAGTATAATTGTATGATCCTGGCCTCATTGCTGAAAACAAACACATTTCTGTACTGCAGAAATTGCATGTTCTAGAATAACTTGATGGAGTTCCATGAGAGATTAAGGGCAAAAAAGGAAGAGGAGAGGAGAGGAGAGGAGAGGAGAGGAGAGAAGAGAAGAGAAGAGAAGAGAAGAGAAGAGAAGAGAAGAGAAGAGAAGAGAAGAGAAGAGAAGAGAAGAGAAATTCATCTTGGGGCATCCATGGCATTTTTTTCTAAGGTATAGTGAAAAGGGTAGGAACTATTTTCCATGAAAAATGTCACAGCTGCCATTTCATGGGGTTCAGGAGATGATTCACAGCCCAAAATGTTTGAAAACCCCTGGCTCAAAAATATATTTTACTGTGATCAGTGATGTTTGCTACCCAAAAATCATACCTAGGGCAATACTAATTTATACAAGCTTTTAGGAAGCATGCAAGGAGGTTGCTCACTGCAGAAGGAGAGAAGCAACCTAGAACTAAGGAGAAATTTCCTAACAGTGAGAACAATTAAGTAGCCTTCAGAACATATATAAAGATTGTTTGAAATATGATTTGTTCTTTAGTCAATGGCCTGTGAACCATCCAATCCAAGTTCTTAACAGCAAGGTGCTTGGCATATATCTTGCTAACAGTGCTGATGGGTTGGTAATTAGCTAAAAAATTCCAATTGTATTTTTAAATAAATGAGAGACAATTAAGGCAAGGATTATTCTGAATTCACAAGTAAACTGGACCGGAAACATGACTAGATGAATTAACAGAATCTTGTAAGTCTGAAGGAACAAACTTCCTACCAGCACATTTCTCTTGCACTTGAAGGCAGGACAAGAAGCAATGGATGGAAACTAACCAAAGAGAGAAGCAATCTAGAACTAAGGAGAAACTTCCTGACAGTTAGAACAATTAATCAATGGAACAACCTGCCTCCAGAAGTTGTGAATGCTCCAGAACTGGAAGTTTTTAAGAAGAGACTGGACAGCCATTTGTCTGAAATGGTATAGGGTTTCCTGCCTGAGCAGGGGGTTGGACCAGATGACCTCCAAGTCCCTTCCAACTTTTTATTTTTATTATTATTATTACTATTATTGTTGTTATTGTTGCTGTTGACTGATTGTTTCCTGTACAGCATCTCTTTCCTTCTTTCCCCAAGGTCATCTGCATATTTCATTACATTGGGCATGACGGTGATAATTGATTAAAAAAAATAATTAAAAATCCCTAAAATCTATAGAGATGGAAGAATGTAACTGTTTTGTGCAGAGATTACATTGCTGTTATGCTATCCTTATAGAGCTACACTTAACAATAATTATAATCTCTTTTCTCAGAATTGAAACACCTTCCCAAAGATTGGTTATTAATGTATACACATGAATTCATTCCTTCATTTTAGATTTTATCTTGTAAATAAGGTTAAAGGAAACATGGTACTTAGCAGTATAGTAAGCAAAATTAAATAAGAACCTCCAATAAATAAAGCAATGTAAAATGAATAACAATGGCATTTTAAATATTCTCTAATTCTCTTTTGTCTTCTTACCAATTCCCAAAATGTTACATGATAAGAGTTAAATTTACTCTCCTTAAAAAAATGAAGGCTTCATTTTTTATTAGCTGGATTCAACTGGGATCCCAACATAATTTGTCCAATAATTTTAATCATTTTCTGATAGGATTATTTCAGTTCTTTCACCATTCTGAACGTCCTGCTGTGTACATGCTCCAGTTTATCTCCTTTCTTGAAAGAATTGAACACAACTCTCCTGATATGACCAGACTAGTGCAGAATAAAATACAGTTATTATATCTTATGAACAGAATGCTATATTTCCATGAATACAGGATAAGATAATCTTCAAATGACTTATTTGCACAATTAGCACAAC